AGATGTTTTGAGTCATTTGAATTCAACATTCTAATAGGTATACATTTTAAAATGTCCTTTTAAAGGCTGTGATGTTTTCTAAACTGTTACATTCAGTTATATTTGTTGCGTTCTTCTGTGCTCTGCAGCCAAGGGCCATCATACACAATGCATCTTCATTACAACCTTACTGACACACCCACACACAAATAGATAAATGAAACAATACTAGAATTATTGCTCTACAGATCTACACCTCCACCAACCAATCAAATTCACGAGAATGGAACAGAAGTGAGGTCTCTCTGACCTTGATCTATGACAACCAAAATTTAATTAGTTCATCCTTGACTCCACAGGGAGGCTTATACCAAATTTGGAAAAGTTCCCTGAAGGTGTTTCTGAGATATCGGACAGACAAGTCAAAATCATGATGCCTGAGGTCATGGCTCTCGCCATTGTGGAGACATAGAAATACATTTTAAAAGCCTAAAAACATCCATGCACATGCTGTTGAGCCAAGTTAAACCATATCAGAGAACCTGGGTGGTCTATACTGAAAGTTTTCATCAAGTGTGGTCTCAACAATCAGTGAAATTTCTATCCCCCACTTTAAAAAAACGACTCCTTACCTAATTAACACATTGTTAGCTGGCTGAATCTATATTATATGGAATATACAATATAAACTATTGTTTCAGCTATTTTATAAACTGGTGTCTTATTATGTATTAAATCTTAGAGGATTAGCTTGACATTTTGGGAAGTACACTAAGCTGGATGAGAAGATTGATACCACTCTCATGCCTGTAAAAATGAAGCTACAGCCAGCTACAGTCAAGCATGAAGACTAAAAACAAAAGGAAACAATTAGTCTGGCTTTGACCAAAGATAATCTAACAAAATGTGCTTAACAACTCAAAAGCTCCTTGTTACATCTCACTTGTTTCTTCTATATCCAAATACCAAAATGTATAACAGCTATCAATACACAGTTAAATGGGCCAAAATGTGGGTGTTTTCCTATGGAAGCCCAGTGTTCACATTAAATGATGCTGACCTAATAACTGGGCCTGGCAGTGGGTTATCAGGCTGTCATAAACCTGCTGGGCCTCATGAAGGGTGACATTGTTCTCTAGCCTGTACCTACAGTAGCTTAAAACTGACCTAACATACTACTAAGCAGCTGCTGGTTGAGGCTTCATATTTACCCTGCAGGTACTGTATGAGATGATATAATGATCTCACAAAACAAAAGGCAAATAGGTTAAGCAAAGGCAGTGGAGTAAGAAATACATTATTTCTCTATAAAATACTCTGGATTAAACAGCTTGTTTTCCATCATACAGTGTCCTGTTACAAGTATTAGGATAAATGTTAACATTCTGACTATCAGTAATTTTTCTAAGCTGCAGAATATTGATGATATTATGAGGTTGCAACTGTTTATGTTTAACTGTGAAACCTGCGCAGTAAAACCAGAGGTGGTAAAGTGAACCTGTCGGCACTGAAGGCATTAGCAGAATAATGATACTGGAGGTCTGCTTATTCTCAGTGTTACAGTAACAAGGTGGAACCGCATCACATATTCAGTTGTCTGGGTAACCCTTTGAAGCTGAGACAGATAATCAGAGCTCACACCCCTACATGTGTGGGATGCCACCTCAATGGCCGGATGTGTTTGCACTTCAGCAGAGAGGAAAGAGGCCACCCAGTCCAGACCAGTATCACTGCTGTACTGGCTGAGCAGTTTCCTGAACAAACTTTGAGTCATCTGAACACAAAAAAGAGAAGAGGAGGTCACTGATTCTTGAGATAAACACCCTTCATGATGCTTGTATACCTTTGCAGTTTCCCTATTCTCTATATTTTATTTGTTGAACATAAACTGGGATGGCTCAAATTATTTGGTTACAAACCAAAAGTCTTTTCCTCTCTGCTTCACAGGAAGTGATGTTTTTAACATCTGTGTTTTGCAGTGAAACAGAAAACCCTGGCACCACCAGCAGAAACTCACAGCTGAAAGATCACAGTAGTGGACACTCTGGCACATGATGTGAAAATGCAAAAACATCAGAGCAACAAGTGCTCAGCACCAAAGATGGCCATAAAATAAAAGCAATGGGCAATTACTCCTTTAAAAACTCACTGTGGATATGTGAAGTAAGATAAGACCCTAACAGCTACAGTACTGTGATTTTGAATGTAAAACATAAAAACCATCATAAGTCATTGTAATAAGGTTAAACAGAAATGTGTGTGGGCTTTTGATTGAGGTTCTGGCCTCTAATCAGCTTAGATAGTCACTGCCTAACTTTCTATTCCTTCAGTTATGAATCAAAAACAGCTGGTACACAGAAGCTGCACAAGCAGGTAGAAGCCTCACTGCAGATTTGGATTGAGTTTTGAATGTTTTTGTGGATTTATTTTATATGTCTGTGTATCAGTTAGTTGCTTTATAAGGTTATGACACAAACTTAAAGCTAGGTTTATAACAACAGTGGATCAAATGAAAGTATAATGTGAAAGGGGTTTCTCACAGTGATGAACTCAGAGACTCTTCAGAACTTATTAGCATATTTTAGCTCATTGTTTTGTTTGTAAGGTTTGCAAACCCCACTCCAGCAGCTGTAGACAGCTGATTTCAGTATAAAAAAGCTCTGATAAACTCACCGTACAGTAGCAGCAACAAAACAGCTGACATACATAGCTAGTAATTGGCTGCTGAACATAGTGGAGCACTTAGCGGCTAAAGAGGCAGATATTTTTCTTAGATGTTGGTGGAGACCAGCACAGAGCTACAAGAGAGTGACTATTTATCTTAAATCCATCAGGTGGACACAAACATGAACCCACCAAGGCTAATGTTGCTTTGTGTCTGCTGGATATACACAGCTATGTGCTAACAAAGTTGATGATGGCCCGTCAGGTGGTCAATGAATCAGTAAATGTGATGGTTTTGGCCAGAAAAATCAGACTTTATTGTTTAAATATGAAGGTTCTTATCTGACCTCATAAAAAGTGTAAACCTTTCCTAATATTTTTGCTATGTTATCATTGTTTCAGCAGTTTGAGTTGCAGTAAAAGCTTTTTCATATTGATGCAGACACAGATTGTGTCCAAACAGTTGATACAGATGGGTGACCATTTAAACTCTAGAAGGCATGGGAGTTCATTCATTGGTGTGATAATCATGAAAATGATGTGAATCACGTGGCCTTTCACAGTTATCAGACCTCAACCTAAATGAACACCTACGGGAGATTTTGGACTGACGTACTAGACAACATCTCCACCACCATCATCAAAACATCAAATTAGATAATATCTTTTTGAAAAATGGTGTTCAAGCTTTAAGCCAAGAAGCACTGAATCTGTCCTGGATGTTTGTCAAGAACATTTTATTCAGACACTTTATGTTGTTTTGTCCATTAATTTGCCATCCAATAGCTTTACTCCAAAAGCTAAACCATTTATAAATAAACCGTGTTTATACAGTAATATCTCCTGAAGCCTTGTATCAGTCAGACTGTGGTGTTTATTTATATGGTGACCTGGGAGTGATTCGCCCTGCCTACTTTCCATCTGAAATGTTATCTGTTGGGATGTATTAATAGGCTGAGGTACTGTAGTAAAGCACACACACTTTCCGGGTGGGAATGTTAGAGGGTGTAACACAGCAAATGTTCCTTGTGGAGTAGTGGAATAGGTGATAAAAACAGTTAAGATAAGAAGTGCTCAGAGGTACTGTAAAGCACATTAATTTCAAAACAGCATCAAAATGAGAGGAAGGTAATGTTTTAGGATAATGAGGCCCTGGTCTGCTGATACTTTCACCAGCAGATGGGGGTGTTGGCTCACATTTCTTCCACAATGAAAACAAATAGAACATACAGACATTCTGCATTTGTACTTTTATTGAGCAAATAACAGGCTGATTTATTGATTGGTTTATAGATATCAATGTCATGTGACAGCTGAAACTGTACATGTGGTTTTGCGCCAGTCTGGAGTTATAACAGCCCTGTGTGTTACATAGGAATTTGTCTGGTGTATACAAGTTTGCATGATTTTTACCCTGAGATAATTACAAGTCAGTAATATAGAAAGATATGTCCAGTAATAAAGGAAAGAATATAACATGTAACAATAAACTATTCATCAGTAACATTACATTAATACCATAGCCTACATTCATGTTCACTGAATTTCAACACTAACATGATGATATCTTGAAGAATATATATATATATGTATATAAATATACATATAAATAAATGAAATTCTGAATAAACTGTACAATTCAAAAGTTCATCTTTTTTCTTACCACATTAACTGGATGGTGCCTGAAAACTGACAAAAGCAAATAAAAATAACCGACTTAATAAATAGTACTATTAGTTAAATCAATAAAATGGAGTGTCAAAGAACAAAGATTTATCATTTTCTTTAATCTGTGAGCATTTGGTGAAGATAAATACTCTTTCATTTAATTAAAAATAATTTAAAACTTAATTTAGTTCATTTAGAATGAGCTGAAGCTTCATTTATTTTACTCTTGTATTTAGCACACAAACTGTCAGTCTGGCCAATGCCTGGCCTGGCCTTACACCAATACCATCTCATAAGCATATAAAAAACAAACAGGCAATATTTTATGGGACAGCAAACAGATAAATGATTTAAACTGTGCCAAAACCAAAATATAAAAAGGAAACGGCATTTCAGTTTTCTTTATGTCCTGCACATATGGTGAATTGACAATAAAACCCTTGAACCCCTGAAATCAGAAAAACAAACCGAGTTAAATATACCTGTGATAATTAATACATGAGTAAATAAAAAATGATGTAATTTATTAAGTCATAGTAAAATTCATGAAAATAAATTAAGTTTTAATTTATCCTATGAACTGAGAACAGTCTCAAAAGAAAAAAATTAAAAGCATTTTGATTTTTTTTATACCAACTGATTTGAAGTTAAAAGAAAAATATAAACCTGTAATTCATTGTACTCTCCATTCTAATTATTTAACTAGCAAAATAATTTATTGAAATTTCTCTTATTTTTTTGAGTAATCCAATAAATATTTTGTCAGTTTTCAGGCCACATAGGTGACAAGAGCCCTTAACGTCTAGTGCTGCAAAGGTTTACTGGTATCTTCAGACGTTCATGAAAATGAGCATGTAGATAGGGAGGTCCCAGAGCAGGAGTTTTAAAGACAGCAGAGCAGAGCACAAACTACCAACCCAGATTTGTACCTGTGCAGCACTGTGCCACCACTGAAACAAACAAACAACAACAACTGTGGTGCACAGGGGTTGAATTGCATTAGCAAGAGTCAAGCTGAAATATACTTACACACAAATACAATGTTTCTCAGGAAATATGATTGTTATAAAAAGTCTGCAGAAACAAGCAGAAAAACTGCCTGTGTTTGGCAACACATTACAAGATTCTTGAATATGTCCCAAGGTGGGGAGACATCATTATATTGCAAAGTCTGCACATATAAAAACATTTAGCACCATATAAAATGTTTCAGTCTTTCTCAGTCTCTTTGCTGTTACATAGTGCTGGATGTGATGAAGACATAAAGCCTGGCGAGGAACGAGGTGAAGGTCCCTTGTCTCAGCAGCTTCATCTCCACGTCTATTAGGAAGTCTTTGGGCTTGCGGACTTGTCTCTGCAGATAAACCGCACCCGTGAAGCTGTTCAGCTTGCGGGTGGAGAAGTAGCCCTCCTCGTTGCCCCTGGTGATGCTGACGATGACGTGGTCACCAGAGTACACGGAGGAGGGTCCAATTCGGAAGATCTGAACTGGGATGATAATGTTGGTCTTGAAGCTGAGCTGATAGTATGTTATCCGCACAGGAGAGCTCTGACAGTCTAGGGAGCTGGTGGGACAGCTGATCCGCTCACAGCGTCTGAAGATGAGTCGAGAAAGAGAGGAGCACGGTATAGGAGAAAGACAGTATTTAGATACTAGACACTTTGGGTCTAACAAAATACTCAATACCGGAACAATAACATTTATTTTTATTTTTATTAGAAAAAATATTTACTATAATTATGTTGAGTATCTACTTACTGTCTGGTTTCTATAAGGCTTGAGTCACCTGAGCTTCTCAGACATTTCAGTAAATGCCTTTTGTATTTATATTTATGTGACTGCTTACTTGACTATTAATACTGTATAATTACTATATTTACTATTATTGCTTATCCTTTCTTCTTTTTTTTACTTTTTATTAGTATGTCCTAATTTAACTGAAAGTGTAACTATGATACATTTTAGTTTTTGTTTCTCTACCACTGTAAATTTAATTTTTATATACTACACCAATGACAACATACTATATCAAAAACCAAAGTGATGTTTTGGTTGTCATGTCACCAATGTTTTCTGTGACATTCTGTAAGTTCTGTATAAAAAAATTAATAAATAAACAACTTACAACAAAATCCATGTAAAAAAACAAAAAAAAAATTAAGAAACTAATGCTTGCATTAAGGCTGCGATGAAGAATACATTAGTGGGGTATATTTCTCAGTGTGCCCACACAACAACAAATTATGTCAAAATAAATTATGAAATGGGCAAATGGCTACAGTCTGATGCTATGTACTTGCAACTAGCTACAGTATCTGCCTATAAGTTAGCTTCAGTAGATTCACCAACAACTCTACACTGAGCAAAGTGTGTGTTACGAGCAAGAACCTACTGGGTTTACTGCATAACTTGATCATAAATGGTCACTAAATCAGCTCTGAGAAAGACATTTGGCATATTATCATTTACCTTGAAAACATATAAAAAATGTAAACAGCAGCCAGTTTTGCACATGCTCATCGATGTACATTGGAAGTGATTAAGTTAATGTAAAGCAATACTTAGGAAGCCAACATAAAATTATAAAAATAATACATCTGGCTCTCAACTAATATGTGTGGTACAGTTCCTAAACTTCATTAGTTAATTATTGCAACATTTTTATTTGCTCACTTAGTAAAGATAAGTTTCATTTGTACTTCTTTCCTCCTATGTGCATACACCCATCCCCTGAGTATCAGACAAAATGGCTAGTGCTTGGTTGTACTACCCCACAGCTTAGTGGAAAAAACAGCATGCCATGTGAAATCATACATGATTTGACAGTATGATTCTGTATTCAAGGACTCATGTAGCACAGCTTGTCCCCGTCATTGCCCACCGCTGTGAGGATTCAATGAAAACTGACATGAACACCAGAACAGCACAGATGAACTGTGCCAGTGGAGAAAGCGGGACTGTCCTAATGGATGCTTCAGATGCTCTGTGACTGCTTATTCACCACTCTTCCAAATTTACAGCCTGGAGTAAAGGCGGGTGTAGTGCTCTGTAAAATGTGAACAGCTCATGCTGAAACAAGCGTGTCCTGGAAGCTGCTCCAGTGAATCACAGTGTTGCACTAAAGCAGACCAGGAGACGTTTTAATCTCAGCCGCCTGTCCATGGCTGCCAAGTCTACTCATGAATGAAAGATGTCTCTTCATGCTGAGCCAGGCCACATCACACTGAGGTTAATAGGGTGTCTCTTCATAACACTGATAAGACGCCTTTCGTGGACAGAGTGCAGAGTGTGTGCTGTTTCTGTCCAGTGGAGCGCAGCAGAGACGGCCCAGGGAGGCACCGAGTTGATCAAAGCCATCTGACGTTGTCGTACGGCTCAGCGGGAGTCATGTTCGCTTACTGTGCCAGCCAACCTGTACAGCTGCCACAGCGTCACAGCTACATTAACAAGGCCCTTCTGTAAAGTATGCTGCACCGTAAGAACATGAATGTACAGTATAGTATTTCTTGGTAAATGAACACAGGCTGTGAGGAAACCTTCCAAAAACCCCACAGATGCAGACCAAAACCTAGTACGACCGTTTTTTTTTTTATTGCCCAGGATGTTTCAGAACATTTTAGGTTTTTAAAGATGCTGAGATAATGACTCACATGTCTGACACCTTCTTGTAATTGCTAGGGCAATCAAAGGAGAGACATCTGAAGCCTCCCTGCAGGTTATAGCAGGTCTGTCCATATGAACAGTTGTGGTTGCCAGTTGTGCACTCGTCAATATCTGGAAGAAAGGATAAAGAAAAGGAATTACCACACTGGAAGTGTCTGGTTTTTCACTTTGATTCTAAACACACAAAAGGAGAAATGTATGCATTTTAGTTATTGCGACACAAAATAGAGGACGTCAACAGGATAAGACCTGAAACAAAACAATGGAAACAGGAGTTTCACAAAGGCATGAGGATATACAGTGAGTGAATTTTTGTTTCTATACAGTCTGAAATTAAGGATATTAAGGAGGAACAAAGGTAGAAATAAAAATTAATTTACAAAGAAAATAAATAAAGGACAGACGGCAAGCTATGAGTAAGTGTGAGGGAGAGGGAAAAAGGTGTGAATAAATAAATAAAGACCTGGCGCCCCTAGGCACCAGCAATAGAACAAGAACAAGAACAGCACTATGACTAACTTCCAAAGCAGCACAGCTGCGTAAGATCTGTTAAATAGTCATTAAATTGATTTGAGGACCAGAATTGGCCACCTTACAGGGCACTTCATGTTTTTTGTTCATTGACAGGGCATTCATATCAAAGGTCAAAGTGTTTATTTGTCATATGCAAATAATTTAAGAAATGTGTTTCCCTGTACAATGAAATTCTTACTTTGCCGCCCACATGAATGCCACAAAATACAAATGAAATATAAAGTAGATAAATAAGTAACACAAAAACGTTGGTGGGACCTCACTTAATAGTCTGGGGTTTTGTCTTTGTTTTATGAAAAGGTTATCCAGTTGTGTCCTTCAGCATGCTGAATTTAAGGAAACCTTAAATGGCACTTTTTTCCATTTGGTTTTCACTAAACGCCATACAGCACCTAAAGCTCAGCCCATTGCATTGGCAAGTCACAGGGCTCTGCGTTCCATCTTTTTCATTTAAAGGGCACTTTATCTCTCACTTCCTGCTTGTGTGGGTACTTTACGGGACATTATCACATTTCCTTTTACTGAAAATTCACCAGTGATGGCACTTCATTCCAGAGTGCCACATACGTACATACTCTAGGGCACTTCCTGATTTACTCATAGCTAAGACAGCTTTTACAGACCTTGCTATGTTTTCTCCTTTGTGTGGACACCATGCAGAGCACTTTATCACGTTTGCTGTGCCGTGGGGGGCACTTTAAAGGGTATTTTATCACGTTTGCTCTCCTGGGGAGGCACCTTTAATGGGCACTTTTCCGGTATTGTTTTGGCAGTCACCCCCTAGCCTACCTCCCAGATGAACAGTGTGTGTTGCACACTTTCAATTACAACTACTTTCCAGGGTTTTCCAGCTCTGGCTAATGGTTCTTTTTAGGTCAGTTGGTCTATTTAACAACTTTCCAGCTATACTCATCACCTCTTGGCTGTGCTGTACCTGAACTTTAGCACAGAAACATTGCGCTATCGATCTTTGAAATGTTATGTAGTGGCCCTCAAAATGTTGCTTTTAGGGACATGCAGTGCTTTGTCTCATTAGTCATCTTCATTATGTTAAAATGGCTTGAATCTCATTTGAAATTATTTTTACAAAGAGAGAAAGATAAAAGGGGCTGAAAAACAGTCAGACTTTCTCTGGGAGGCACAATACGTTCATTCACTTCCTGCATTTTTAGCAAAGCTTCTATTCAGTTTAATTTTGAAAATGTTTAGAGGAGATCAAATAAATGAGTAATGACATACAGTACTGCAAGAGTAACTGATGTCATAAATGAATGTACTTTTGAATCCAGATGTGCACTATCAGTGTCACTTCTGTCTGCCCGCAGTTTCCAATTTGTGGAAAAATAATTTAAATGATGGGAATTAAAGCTTCTTAAGAAGTAATTTGCTCTTCATATAATTTGGTTTTAAAGGCAGTTAGAATTTCTTTTTAAAGATGAAAACACTACTATATATACAGTGAGCCCTCACCACGGCAGGTGTGTCCATTGGCGGTCATGACGTATCCATGAGGAGGACAGGCACACCGATAGCTGCCTGCAACATTAACACACTGGAAGGCACAGAGGGTCCCAATGCTCTGGGAGCACTCGTCAATATCTGTTAAAAAAGGCACACACATTGACACACACATCCTATCAGACAGATTAGAGCCCTGGCGGAAGCCATGTTGTTTGTCCTGTCTGTTGTCCTGTCTGAGGAAATAGTGCCAGAAGCTACCTGAAGGCCCTGTCACCCCAGACAAAATAAAATGTGTTACTGCTGATGAAGAGTGACACTCTCTCAGTCTGGTCTCAGCATTCATTACAAACATGTATTATTTAGAGCACTAGAATAATATTATTAATTTTGTTTTTTAATCAATTTTTCTTGGAACCCCGCTCACCTGGGGGTAAGGTCCTGTGTTTTGTGTACACAGCCATCTACCCCAGTCTTCTCCTAACAGTGACTTTGTACCTCTATACTACACCACCAAACATATTCCTTTCATTGTGTCATATTTACTATGGTCACCAGAGGTCGCCAAACCATAATAATGTAAGTGTTGGTCTAATAACCTGCTAGCACAAACATCTTATTGAGACGAGTCTTGTGAAACAACACCCCTCAGTATAATGCACCATTGCAAAGTATAACCTAATAATAAACACATAATTAATGCCTCTCAGAAAGTGCCTAACAAAAACAAGAATTATTGTCCCTTACTGTCCCAAGAATTTATGGTTAAGCTGCTATATTAGATTCCATCAGAATTCACTTGTAGCTAGTGGCCACTGAGTGTACAGTACCTTTGACATATTATTGTTGTGAGTAATGTGTTAGCAGTCAACCCCGTATTTATCAGTTGAGCAGAGCGGGAGCAATGTATTGTACATACTCACTCTACTTTTAGATTTGTTTTGGTTTCCACTGACTCCACTAGTGTCTATCTAGCAACCGTGGCAGAAAATACCTTCACAGTTGTGTCCATCCTCTTTTAGGTAGTAGCCTTGGCGACAGTAGCATTGATATGAGCCATAGATGTTAGTGCACTCCTGGCTGCAGGGATTTTTGTCACATTCATTTATATCTAAGCACAGGAAAGAAAAGAAGTGTTAGAAATCTCCCTGTTTTCTTAAAAGATCTAATAATTTCTTAGCTATTTCCAAAGCAGCACTTTTTAAACAGTGCATTTCTTGAGGACTGCTTTCATCTGAGGATTAATATGTACATTGGGTGTTCTGATTTGTATTTGTGGCAGCAGGATGGTGTACTGTATATGAGACTGAGTCAAAATGAACTGCACTGTGTGTGTTCATCATGATAAGGAACATGCCCCTTGTTGATTTTGATCTTTAAGTGAAATTTGTCGACAATATTAAAAATACAAAATACCACCAGCTTTATCCGTTGAGGCAATAAAGTAAAAGGAACAAGAAAAGGAACAAAAATCTATTAAAATCAGTCAGCGTTTAATTTTTGCCCAAGTGCATTGTGGAAACAGAAAACAGCAGAATGAGGTAAAAATAAGAGATGTTTGTACATTAGGACTCGAGCCATTTCATGATGCAGTGTTGGTTTCTAATGCTGTTTATTTAACTTTTTCAAGTTTTTTAAAAAATAAAACCTAATAAATGCAAAGCTTCACCTTTGGATCCTGAGCAAAAACATTACGTTCCTTCAGCAATAGCATTGACAAGCTGAACATCATGTGAATCATGCTTCAGGTCTGCTTTGCTCTGTGAAGCACAACCACATCTTTAATGCACTGATAACTGACAGTACCCGAACCAGAAAACTGTTTTATTTTGTTTTAATCACTTTTATTGACCAAGTATTTTTATCGATAACAAAAACTTACAAGGGCCTTAACAGTTTTTTAAATCAATATTTATAATCTCTGTAGCCTGGCTTACCTAGGTTTTTCAAGGCAAATATCACAGTCCATCTAAATAAGGTGGCATTTAAATAGTGAATATGTTAGAGAGAAAAACACACTAGCTTACCTTCACAGTTCTTGCCATCAAATGCTAGGGAAAAGCCAGCTGTGCATGAGCAGCGGTAGGAGCCTGAGGTGTTTTCACAGGTCTGGGCACACAGCCTGCCAGGATAGCGCCAGCACTCATTTATATCTATCAGTGCAGGAGCACGAGCTATTAGACAGCAGACAGATACCTCCCAGCCACTGAGGACTCAGTGCCTGTTGTCATTCAGACACACATAAAATGATTTTAAAGTGACTTTTTCACTTTCTTAGCATTTTTTTTCATATTTATATGTACATGTGGAAAAAACAATAGTCCAAACATGTTGTTGTTCATTTGGTTAGTTTTTAAATCAAAATGTTAGTGGAGCAGAAAAATTTTGCCCCTAGTCCTAGACAGCATGTCGAGAAAACAAACAAACAAACAAGTATACACACGCACTGGAGAAGCCTCCATTTAGCATACAAAAAAGTATGACATGTTAACGTGAGACATTGCTGCAGCTTGCTGCTGCTCAGTGGAGGAGGATAGAAATCCCCTCACACTAAGAACATTAGTATAAACAGGTAATGAAATTGTGAGTGGCAGACCATCAGTGGGTTAAAAGCACAGAATCCTACCCCACACTAAAAACATTAGCATTTTAAATATGTAGCATTAGCATGTAGCAAAGAAGACATTCTGCACACCTTGTTAGTTCGCTTGTTAGTTCTTTTCGCTGAAATATTTAGAGCCAAAACAATTTGTTTACAACCCTAAATCAGAAAAACTTGATGCATGTAAAATGGTAAATGGACTGTATTTATATAGCGCATTTTTCCACAGTGTGTTGCACTGGCCAAAGCGCTTTAGGAGATGATACACCATTCACCCATCGATGACGACAGGCTGCCACACAACGGGGCTAGTCAAGCCACCGGGAGCAATTCCAGGTTCAGTGTCTTACTCAGGGACACTTAGGCATGCGGGGAGACTGGGAGTCAAACCACCAACTTGCTGGTCAGGAGATGACTGCCTTACCTCGTGAGCCACAGCCACCCCCACAAAATCAAAATTGAAACTGAAAATAGTGATGTGTAAATCATCTGTGTCCTGTATCAAATTGAAGACAATACAGCAGCACATTATTTGATGTGATACCTCATCAATTTTATTCTTTATTCAAAATAAACACTCACTTTAATTCTGATGCCACATCACTACTTTCAGTTTTAATTTTGATTTTACATATTGTCTCAACTTGTTCTGATTTGGGGTTGTAATAAAGTAAATCAATTGACACAAAATAATCTCCAATTATTCTGATAATTAGTTCAGATCTAAGCTCTTCACTAATCCTATTTTCCCCCCCACACCTGCACATGCGTGCATCTCACAAACCCATTGTTGAGAAACCCATGTACAGTGTCCTGATGCATTTTGCAACACAACCTCAAACTTTCTCCCTCCGCCATGCACTGCTCCACCGCCGGCTCCTCCAGCAGTGATGAAGGCACTGTGGGTGAAGTTTACATTCACATCTTCTTGTTCTACTCTTCCAATGTCATGAGATAATACAATGCTCTTTAGGTTTTATTTTATGTTGTTTTTAATAAACAGGTTGATGCTATTTTAGGGTATTGTATTATAATTACTGATGCTTTATTGTGAACATCACATTTATTGTTGCAGCTGGTAAATGGGAGCTGGTTTTAGCTGATTTATATGCATTTAATTAGAATTACTGCTGGGTAGCTTGTGAATTTCACACCATAAATCAGTGAGGTCTTATAATTATACTGTGTTTTTTCTCTTAATCTGGTTCTAGAAAATAACTAGTAACTAAATTCTAAAATAAATGTAGTGTAGTAAAAAATACAATATTTGCCTCTAAAATGAAAATGAAAATATTTAAGTAAAGTACAGATACCTCCAAATTGTACTTAAGTGCAGTACTTGAATAAATGTACTTAGTTACTTTCCACCACTGGTACTTTAAGTAAACTTGAATAGCAAATGCAATCACAAAATCCAATTACTCACTTTTACCCTTTGCTCGATTTTGGTATCTTTCAACTTTTGAGAATGATATCTTGCTCTTTAGCTGCTAAATGCTTCACTGTGTTCAATAGCTAATCACTAACTGTGTGTGTCAAGTGACTCCTTTTACAATACACAATCATTCTGTCCAGCATTGGATAGTGCATTGTTCACTTATTGTAACTGCAGCAAGCTTCACAATAGGACTGTGGAGTTATTGCTGGGCTTTAGTCTGTTCTGTGCAAAACATATTCTAAACTCAGCAATCACTTACGCTGATTCTTGGGGTACTGCATATGACATGCATATGTATTCATCTCACATCCATCCATCCATTATCTATACCACTTATTCCTGAATAGGGCTGGAGCCAATCCCAGCTGACAGTGGGCGAGAGGCAGGGTCCACCCTGGACAGGTCTGACACATAGAGACAGACAACCACACACACTCACACTCACTCCTAGGGGCAATTTAGAGTCACAGGGAGAACACGCAAACTCCCATCCCACATTCTTCTTTGTAAATGGATGTGCTTAGGTGAACTTGCAGTCACAGAAGAAGGCTGCACAGATACTATGGTCAAAAACTGCATAAACAGATATGTGTTTCTAAATTCAAGAACAGGTCACCAAAGTTCAAATGATTGATTCTGTTCACAAAAATTAAAAGGAGCAAAACACTGAGAGAAATAATCCAGGTAACACTTGTATCCACAACACTGTGAGCCTAGGATCCAATTTTACATTTTTTCTTTTCTTTGTTACATCTAGTGAAATCTGACAGCAGCTCTGGCTCCATGTACTGAGGCAGTGAGACGTCCGCCTTGCAAGCAGCTCTGGCTTCAGAAACTGTTTGGTCGACTAAACCTCTGCTCTTGATCCTCTCACAGGCCTGACACAGTAATACGTACCAGTGCAGTCTTTGCGGAGGGCGTCATACCGGTAGCCCGTCTGACAGTCACAGCGGTAGCTGCCAGGGAGGTTGTGACAGATCTGGCTTGTGCCACAGCGGTGCATCCCCATCTGACACTCATCAACGTCTAGACAGGCAGAGATAAAGATAAAGCACCTCAGCATTGACCCACTCTGCAGCTGACTGGGTCTATCTTAAAAACAGACAACCTCCTATTCACACCACCAGACACAGTATAAAGAGAAACACACTCAGAAATGCATACTGTATCAATCTCAAGCTCACTCTCCATCTCTCATTCACAGAGGGTCCTTGAAACTCTTAAAACCTGGAAGACGACTAAACAAATGGCTTTTCATATAATTGACTAGTCAGTTATATGAAAAGCAGGCAATTAACAGACAGTTTTAAAGCATGGTATTTATTTATTTAACAGTGAACAGTGCTCTACTTGATGGTACTGAAACATTCTGTAAAAATACTCTGTTTTCAATGTTGCTTTTATTATTTAATGTAACTTTTTTTGTGAAGTGTCTTGCATCTCCTGTCCTGTGGTTGGCTATCTGCTCATTTAGACCAAAGCAACAGGCAGAGACTTTAGGAAGAAACATGGCCTTATTAAATAAAAGAGTTACTAGAAAACATGTTGTTGTGAAATAATAATCCCTGCAATAAAATAAAAATAATAATGACCTGCAATGAACTGTTATTGTGAAGCAATGCTACTAAGTTTAAAACACATTTCATTATTTCACAATTTTTATGGCTATATAATTTGTATACATTGTGTTTATTCTTATGATCATTTATTTCCTAATATTTTATTCATTTATTCAATATTCATTCATTGCATTTAAGTTGCTAGCCTTGTGTGTTCATGCTGCTGTGTTTACGAGGTAATCTCACCGACACACTTGGCTCCATCAGGGCTGGCGTGGTATCCATGGCTGCACATTTTGATTTTCTGCCGGCATGTGTAGGAGCCCACTGTGTTGATACAGTTAAACCCTGAGCTGCACGGTTCACTCAGGCTGCTGCACTCATTTATGTCTACAGAAACACAGAGAGCGAGAGAGAGAGAAGTCAAGCCTGAAAGGCAGCTGAAAGGGTAATTGTTAGGATGTTTAATCCTGATTGACAGGTCTACCTATGTCTATTTCCCCCAGTAATTTTAACACATCAATTATGGAGCTGTGTACTGTATTTACTTGCTGACTTGTTTGTAGTCATCATGCCTTCTTAGAATATAGCGGTTCCAGCACTAGGGGAGCAGTGTCCATCAGGTGGATTATGAATCAGTACATGTGAATACAGTCATGTGGAGGGTGGACAAAATAGCAGAAATATCGGAGAAATAAAAGATTTGGATTTTGAAGTAAGTGAAGGAGAAACACAACAACAGCCAAGATGAACTGTAGTTAGTGGTGTCAGTGTTTAAGCAACACTAATAATTACTCTATGAAAAGAGAAAACACTGAGGAAAATAAACTCACAACAAAGTCAAACAGTGCTTGAATAGCAGGTGCACAAGTCACTGAATTTACATAATTCTGGAAAGAGAGGTTAATTTGGAAAATCATAACAATTTAAAACAGAAGATACAGAAGATTTAGGAAACACATGAGTTTCTACTTGTAGGAGGTCAAAGAAAGTCTTCCACCCTCAGTGAGACATCTGTAATGTGCAGTTTATCAGCTGAGATACAAGGGACACTTTTATATCAGGAGCACTGAGTGGTAACAAAGGTTTTGTCTAGATGATAACATTTCCATACAAACAGCTAAACAAATTGTAAATACTGAGAAAATGGGATGTCATTAGTTTAATCCCATACAACTAAACCCATGAAACAAAAAGCATAAAACCTTTTCTTTACTGATTATTAGTCAGTGTACTGTCTACTTTTATCATGCTACTATACATTGTAATAGGTCAAGATCCCACGTGATATACAGTAACGTGGTAATTAGCGAGCTTCAGAGGTGCTGGTAGGCACATTTGCTGTTTCCCCTTGATGTCAGTCTTTAAGCTAAGCTACGCTGACAGTCTCCGGGCAGTGGCTCCACATTTAACAGTAAATATGTCCGACATCTCTCAGCAAGAAAGTGAACAACAGTGTTTCCTAAACAGTTCCTTTTAAAACTATGTTTGGGGGTATTGTACCGTATGACATAATTGGATAGCTGAGAGGAGATGAGAAATGAGGGGAGATGATGGGGAATGACAGGACACAAAGGTGCAGCTACAGTGATTGGGCTCTGAGTGCTTTCGAAAGGTGGGTGACGTACAACTTGGTGCTGTGCCTGGACCCTGTGACATCACTGCTGGGGGTGGCTTCAGGTGCAACACCCAAGCACAGGCATAAGTGTTGCTGGGTCAGGGTTCAGGGTTTTCTCTTTATGTAAGAAAATTATCACACAGCAAAACTGGGTAGCGCTGCAGTGTAGAATCCTACAGTACACACACTGCACAGAGAGTGTGAGGACAACCAGCATCTCAATTCCACTGGTTAAACTGGCCATGGTGAGACAGTGGGACAAGGAGCACTAAATCTGTTCTGAAGGTATAAACATGACCTATCTCTCCATTAACTGTTTAATGGTCACATGTAATGAGATCCCAGCAGAAAGCAGTCCTGACGCTGTCTTACCAATACAGTTGCCATGAGAGTCCTGTGTGAAGCCGTTGATGCACTTATGTTTGGGACTACACAGGAACGAGCCCAATGTGTTGTTACACACAGAGCCCACACCACAGTTATGGGTTTGCAGTACACATTCATCAATGTCTACAAAGAAAGAACAGATAAACACAAATGCACTGAGTCAACTTGGCAAGCCAAAATAATCCATCTATTCAAATGGTAACAGTTTAAATCTGCTGTCAGCTCCCTGAGCCTCAGTCGGACCTGTCAGCTCTGTACAGTAGGTGGCACTGTGGCTTAAGCCCAGATTAAACGTGAGCAGCATCCCAGGCATTCAAACTTTCACACTTAGTATTTAACTCCAGGAAAAATTCCTTTCCTATAAAAAATATCACTTGCTCGAATGCTGCAATTAACAGAGGTTGAAACTAACTTTTTAAATGACAGTTATTGAATCTCATGAGCGATGGATAGAGTTTAAATGGAAGATTTGTTCTTTTGTGCTGCAAGCCCATTTCTCTAGAGTTTATGTTATATCAGGTCCTCTGAGGTTCATCCTGTGGTAGGCAGAAGGTCTTAATTTGAGTTTTTCTCTACCAATCATCATCAGAGGGAAGGATATCTGATGTTACAACAGAGATTTCTCCTTTCTTTCATGCTGCTAATTAGTTTCTCCCCTGTTGGACGGTTGACTAAATATTACATTATATAGCTACACTGATTAGTTCTCCATGTGCCAAGTGCTGATGACACAAGTCACACAGTTTAAAAGTGCTTTACCGCCTGCACAATGCTTCCTTTCTACAGTGGTGACTGAGTCATTTTCTTGTCACGTACAAAAGCTGGGCATATGCTGAAGTACTAACATCACTACTAGGGCCAAAAATCCATTAGCATACTGTAAATCTTAATGTAGCTTTGGACTGAGCTGAGTTTAAGTCATGACCACAGACATACAAATCCTACCACCAAATATGGTACGCAGTGCTTTTAGGATTTGTATAGTTTTTTCTCTGGATAATTTGGATTGTACTCATACAAATGGGGAGTGGGGGTAAAAAGGAATATAACCTGTTTCTGGGGAGCCTCTTTAAAAAGAACTGTCTGCCATCAATAATACTAGGACACTCAACAGCCTCAGCACCTACTGATGTACTGCACTGCAGTCTTGTATTCAGGGATTTGTGCATCTCTAAAGGGACAGTTTAATGACAAATTACTTTTGGGTTTGTAGCGATACAATTCAGAAAGAGCAAAGGCGGAGATGTAATGACAAACTTTAGGACCAAAATGGCCTGTGTGTCCAGCATGTGCATGACCATCAATTACATGGTACCTCGGTTTGAGTCAGGAGTTGGATTTGTGTGCTTCTGTTGCCGGATATGCTATAAACTGCTGAGAAACTGGCAACACTGAGCACAAACACGCCTTGACCATATATGCAATGTTCTCTACACATCATACAGCCACGCTGGATGCAAACCCTACATTTCCTGCTGCTTCATATTAAATGACAAAACACAAGGTGGCATTTATTGTTAAGGAGTCACAAGAAACAATGTATTGTCACAAGGTTAGTACTGCCTGAAATCATTCAAATATTTGTATATAAAACAAGAAAATTACAGTTATCAGTATTTTTTTTATGGCGGTCTTCTTTATTAAAATGTATTTCTAACAAAGTATCTGCTTAGGAATTCTGGGACATGCAGTATTAAACCACACTTGTTGTTACCACAGTAACCATGAGTGTCACTGAAATTTTAAGGATTTTAACTTTAGCCATACCTCAACCTGTGATAAACTTTAAACATGGTCTGAATAATTAATGCAGAAAGCAAGAATAAAAAAGCATCTGATGTGAAAAACACACCGACACCAAACGTAATCCAGGGCTTTGCAGAATTGTTCAATAATTATGCTTTGGTCTCGCGACAGAGTTGTGTATTGTGGTTTTATATCCATTTCTGTCCTTTTGAAACTAAAAAGAGTTTAACGTCCTGTACTGCACATTAAAGAAGACATCATCAGCATTTCCTCTGAATACTTTAGAGGCTCTGGAAGTGATTGCTGGGTAAATTGGCTTAATAAAATACATCAGGAACAATGAACCCACCCTCACAAACATTGCTCCTCAGCTGGTAGCCTGCAGGACAAGTAACCTGCTGCTCGCATACAAATGAACCCACTGTGTTCACACAGTGCTCGCTGGGCTGACAACTGTGGGTGTTGGTCACACACTCGTTCACATCTGCAGAAGAAGAACAACAGTGACAGTGTGTGCAGTGACAGGGAAGACAAGGAGATAGACAGAGGGTGCATGATTATGAGGTGGAGGAGAGGCAGACTGTGTATAGATAGACAGGGTTTGTACATAGTTCTTCCATCCTGACTTGTCACCATGATTGGGCTCAATGAGTCAGCAGCAGATTGACATCGGCAAAGAAAAAAAAAAAACTTAACTAGAGGGAGTTATTCTTACATCTAGGAGTTTGTAGCATACCAGTAAATTATACTTTATGTTTTGCTTTTGACTATAAAAATGTTCTACTTAACGTAAAATTCAACTGAAAACACATTTGTGCACGGGTATTTGGAGCTGTTCATAAATGCTTGTATACCTTCAAAGCCTGTGAGTGGATGAATGGGCAGGCCATCAGGGGCACACAGACAATGTGCACTGGTTACTCTAACTTTCAAACCAAGGACAGGCTGTGTTTTGTTTGTGGTGATATTAAAGCTGCACTAATCAATGGTTTCATAATAACAGTGGATCAAATGACGGTGTGTGATGTGAAAATGTCCATTAGAGAATCATTACCTAAAGCGACGGTTCCCCTCATCTCTGAGGAGCATTGTATTGTCTTTCAGGTCAGTGTTTTGGTTTTGTACTGTAGGACCCGCATCTTTAATGTTTTGGTTCATTGTCAGTACTCACTTTGAGTTATTTTCCACATGCAACAGGCAGCTACTTCTCAGTGCCAAACACCAGCAAAGCTGGGAGCTAGGTGGCTGGGAAATTTGGGAAAGACTAAAGCTCCTTTCAGATATGGTACCCAGGAATTTGTGGGGTACAAGTAGCCTTGTAGCAAATGCCGTTTTCACATTCAGACATAGAAATGCTGTGTACAAAATTCCCAGCAAGGCTTTGTTTAAGCATAACACATCCTAGCTGGGTACGGCCACAACGTTCACACGATATCCAACATCAAGTGAGGCATACACTGTTATTCTTCCACACAGAGGATTAGCAGTCCTTTGGTTTCCATGTCAGACCAATTTCTAGCCATTCTGCATTAGCTTACTCTGCTAAATCGTATCTTCTCTGTACACATTCAAATTAAACTTGCTAGCTAGTGAAGTTATGTTCTTTTTATCTTTATGCCCAAATGTCACTGCCTGCCCAAAATATACACAACTAAGAGAGAGTGGTCAAGTGAGTTAGAGAGTGAATGAAGAGAGGGAACGGCGTTAGTAAGAACAAAGCAGTTAAAGAGAGAAAATGTTGTGCTTGGGTGATGTTGTAATACTGGCATCCTGACAGCGCCACTTCACCATTTCAGTTCAGACATGTAGCCAGTTAAAACGTAGCCGGCTATTTGACTAGGCTCGACTAGGTGAAATTGCCAGTAACACTTGCTGACTATGCAAGGCGGGCTTTGCTCAGACATGACGCCTAGACATGCAGGCAGATTCCTGGGGTAGGCGTACAAAGCTTAAAGGAGAATGAACTTGAATTTGTCACATGGTCAAAAACCCAATTGCAAATTCATGATAATGTTTTTAACTGTTAGCTGAATTTGTAATTAGACAATAGTTTGCTGAAACATTTTCCATTAGCACCTTTAAATAGTGATACTAGGTCAGTGTTGTGTTTAGAGGTTGTTCTGCTGCCTTCAAGTATCCAACAAAATAATGAATTCTGATTTAAGGACCACAGCATTTAGCATCTAAACTCAATGATCTTGACATTTTCAGGTGTTTTCAGATGTTTAAGCTGTTCAATATGCAGCTGACAGAAAAATGAAATGCAAAATGTCTCAGTGCTGGTATGCTATAAGAAGGTGTGAGCTAAAGAGAGGTACAAAGTTTTATGTTCTTGATATTTTGCATTGTGTTAGGCTGCTAGGGTTTAGTCAGCTAAAGACAGAATGCTGATGATGATAACCACTTTAACTGCAAACACTGTACATTCAAAATAAATGATTTCACTGGCTTTAGGTGAAGAATTTAGATTAGATTAGATTAGATTAGTTTAGATTAGATTAGATTAGATTAGATTCAACTTTATTGTCATTAGCCATGTACAAGTACAAGGCAATAAAATGCAGTTTAGCATCTAACCAGAAGTGCAATAACAGCAGTGCAGAGTGCACAGGATCTACAGTACGAACTAACTAACTACAGCCAGAACTAATTTACCAATGGATATGTACAATCGATATTTCCAGTAAGATATGTAGGGTAATGTACGATATACAACAGACTATGGATTCAAATTACAGTAATAGATAAGGTACGTTAATCTTATAGAACACTGGTGCAATGGGATGAGATGGAATGAAACAGTGCAGAATAAAGATAATAAGTTACATGAGTGAACAGTACAAGTCAAGTCAAGAATCTTTATTGTCATTACGCATAGCACAATGAACTTTTTTCCGCCAGCTCTCGGCTTAAAAGACACATTATTTACATAACACACAATTGTATAAGTCAACATAAAACAATGAGCAATGGATGTAAATAGTGCAAAGATAAAGATAAATATACTGTATAATATCTTCATATGAACAGTGTGCAAATCAATAAAGAGCCGGATCCTGTGAGTAGAGTATGTGCAAATTAACAGATCACTTCAGTGTTACAGGTAACAGAAGTGTATTGCATGAGTCCCGGGAGGAGAGATGAAAAGGGGTGAGGTGTTTAATGGTATAGAGGAAGGCAGTGGGGGGTCAACGGGGGATAGAGTTCAGTAAGGAGACAGCTGTGGGGAAGAAGCTGTTCCTGAGTCTACTGGTTTTGGTCCTGAGACTCCTGAAGCGCCTCCCAGAGGGTAGGAGGTCAAACAGTTTGTGAGCAGGGTGAGAGGAGTCCTTGAGAATGCTGCAAGCACGTCGAAGACAGTGTTCCCTGTGGACACCCTCAGTGGCTGGAAGTGGAGTTCATGTGATGAGTTGGGCAGTTTTCACCACCTGCTGCAGCGCCTTGTGGTCGGAGACAGAGCAGTTTCCAAACCAGACTGTGATACAGCTGGTCAGGATGCTCTTGATGGCACAACGGTACAAGTTCACCAGGATGGCTGAAGACAGGTGGTTCTTCTTCAGTGTCCTCAGGAAGAAGAGGCGCTGGTGAGCCTTCTTAAACAGGCTGCAGGGGGTGTTGGTGGTCCAGGACAGATCCTCAGAGATGTGAGTCCCCAGAAATTTGAAGCTGGAGACACATTCAACAACCATTCCGTTAATATGGATGGAGTTGTGTGTGCCTCCTGTCTCCCTCCTGTAGTCCACAATGAGCTCCTTGGTCTTGTTGGTGTTAAAAAGCAGGTTATTGTCAGTGCACCACACAGCCAGGTGCTGTACCTCCTCCATGTAGGCTGACTCATCATTGTTGCTGATGAGGTCGATTACTGTGGTGTCATCTGCAAACTTGATGATGGTGTTGGAGCCATGCACAGGCCTGCAGTCATGGGTGAAAAGGGACTAGAGGAATGGGCTCAGCACACAGCCCTGTGGTACGCCAGTGTTGAGGATAATGGTGGAGAAACAGATGTTGTCTGATCTAACATGCTGAGGCCTGTTGGTGATAAAGTCCAGAATCCAGTTGCAAAGGGATGTGCTGATGCCCAGGTCACCAAGTTTGGTGGTTAACTTGGAGGGGATGACCATGTTAAATGCTGAGCTGAAGTCCAGGAACAGCATTCTTGTATAAGTGTTGTTGTTGTCCAGGTGTCTGAGAACAGAGTGCACTGCTATGGAGACTGCAACCTCCGTGCTCCTATTCCTTCGGTAGGAAAATCGGTGGGGGTCCAGTGTGGGTGGGAGACAGGTCATCTGGTGTGCTAGGACCAGGTGCTCGAAACACTTCATGACGATGGGTGTGAGTGCTACAGGGCGGTAGTCATTCAGGCACGTCGGGATGGAATGTTTCAGCACTGGCACAATGGAGGTGGTTTTGAAACATGTCAGCACACTGCTTGTGTAAGGGGCAGGTTAAAAATATCCATAAAGACGCCAGCAAGCTGTCCTGCACATGCCCTGAGCACATGTCCAGGACTGCCATCAGGGCCAGCTGCCTTGCGTGTGTTGATTCAGCTCAGAGCAGCATACACATCAGTGGAGGTGAGTGTGAGTGGCTGGTGGCCTGCGGAGAGTCTGGACTTGATAGCTGTCTCCTTGTTGTCCCAGTTGAAGCGAGCACAGAAGTCATTTAGCTCATTGAGGAAGGAGACATCTGTGGTTGTTGGGTGGAGTTGCCGGGCTTATAGTCAATGATGACCTGGATGCCCTTCCACACAGGAGCCACACCTCTTTGTTCATCCACGGCTTCTGATTTGGGTACATGGTGATCTGTTTCTGGGTTGTGACACTGGGTTGTGGTAATAAAGTCCAGCACAGAGGAAGTGTAGGTGTCAGTGAGAGTCACAGGTAGACTAGGAGGCAAACATACTCCAGTATGTGTGGTGAAACTTGTCCTATAGTACAGAGTCTGTCCCCTCTGGCCACACTTTGATGATCCTCGTTGATGGTTTCACATGGCAGATGAGTGGTGAGTACTTGGAAATGAGGAACAAAGGAAGGTGATCTGACTGTCCCAAGTAGGGGAGGGGGGTCGCCTCGTATGCAGCAGCCATGTTTGTGTGCCATGCTCCAGAGTTTTATTTCCTCTAGTGTGGCAGGAAACATGCTGGTGGAATTTAGGAAGCACTGACTTTAGGTCGAAGTGATTAAAGTCACCCACAACAATAAATGTAGCCTCTGGGTGTGCAGCCTATTATTTGCCAATAGCCTCATGAAGTTTGTTCATTGCAAGTTTGGCATTAACGTCCAGAGCAATATAGGTTTCGATTATTATAGTGGAACTGATCTCCCTGCAGATAAAAAGCTCTACACTTAACCATAAGAAATTCCAGGTTAGCTGAGCAGTGTCTCTAAGTGATGACAGAGTTCGTACACCAAGCTTTGTTAACATAAATGCACAATCCTCCGCCTCTGGTCTTACTGGAGCCATCTGTTCTATCTGCACGGCATA